GGAAAAAAGTCAAAGCAAAAGTAAGGTGGTGACTCACCACAAAAAACATAGCAAAAAAATTGAAAACATAAAAATAAAACTCATCAACGAACATGAGGAGTCTATCGAGCGTCCAACGCGAGGATTCCAGTAATCCCAGAAGGAAGGGAAGATGAATCAAGAAATCGTTGATTGAGCTGCCAAGAGCAAGCCCAATTAGCCATGAAATCTGTAGTCTGATTTGCCTCCCGCAAGACATGGCAAACGCTAGCCAAGAGAGAAGCACACAGGCGCCGAATCCGAGTAAGCAGATAAGCATAAACCCATCATCCAGTACCTTGAGAAAAAACCCAAGAAACTACTGTAGCTGAATTTGATAACACTACCAACTTTGAAGTTCTCAAATCTGCGGCCAACTCCAACCTAGCACCAAGAGCCTACAGCTCCACATATAGAATAGGTTGATGCCCTAAAAACAAGCCAAAAGTCCTGAGAACTCAACCCTGGTGGTCTCGAAAAACATCCTCTATCACGGACAGCTCCGAATTGCTTTTAAAACATCCGTTAACACTAATCTGCAAGCAACCCACTACAGTACGAGTCCAAGCCACCAAACGAGGAGGCCTAGGCCGAGGGACCAAAACCCTAAGAGAACCCACAAACTCAACCGACTCATCCTAACATAACTAACTCGGAGCAAACCCAAAAACAAGTCCAACCAACTGCATATCAGCCATAACCCTCTAAACCACAATGGGCACCTAAAAGGCCTGTCCATCAAACCTATAAGCATTACGTGTCTTCCATAAGTGGCATAGAATAAAGCATGGTAGCAAAACCCGCACGTGACCTGCAAAAGGAGTACAACACCGCCAATGAAGCATCAAAGCATAAAGAGAGTGAAACGGCCAACATCTGATAAAAGTGAAGCCACACCTAAACTATAAGTGAACAATCCAGAAAAAGATGCCTAAGAGTCTCTACAGCCCCACGACACACACATCAAGATACTATATGGAAACCTCGTCTCTTTAAGCCATCATTTGTGGCCAGGAAATCATGAAACAACCGCTACATAAAGAAGGAGACCTGAGTCAGAATATGTCTTTGCCAGACACAAGAAAACCTAGCCCAAACTGGAGTCATACCCCGAATATCAACCCAAGCAATCCTCAAAGAAAAATCCTCATCCAATGACAAACTCCACCTCATTTGATCAACCCCTGATTCAGAATCGGAATCTGCACAATCTGCTCAACAACTAAAGAAGGCAAAACCCCCAACAATCAGCCTTTGTCCCACTACTGACCAGTCCAATAAGCAGAAACAGGAACCCAGAAGCTACCCCCAAATACACTAAAGCCAATGGGTAATCCCCCAACCAACAATCATATCAGAAACTAACCTCACTGACCGTAATAACCATCTGATCCTCGGCTCAACCACGGATCGAATCCCACATAACCGCCTCCAAAAAGGTGAAGTCGGGTAACGAAACTCAATCGGCCCAGGATAGGTGAACCTACAGTACTTATCCCTCATAAAAATGGACCAAAGTGACTGTTGAGCACAAAAAATTCACCATAGCTTCACCTCACAAGCCTCAGCTAAGTAAGAAAAAGAACGCACCCTTAAGCCGCCCTCCTCTACAGGGTAATATACCTCAGCCCAGTGACACTAGTGAATCCTCCAGTGAGTAGATATGTCACCCCACAAAAAATGAGTGAACATCCTCTCTAACTGGTGAAAAACATCCGCAGGAGGCCTTAGCTCATAAAACAAGTGAATAGGCATCGACGCGAGCACATGACGAATCAAGGTGAGCTTACCTCCAAAGGAAAACAAGCGATTCACCCATCCAGAAATTCACTCACGCACCTTCTGAATCATCTCATCAAAGTATGAGATCCGGAGATAAGCCAAGTAAATAAGGCACCCCAGATAAATAAATGGAAGGTCACGCCTCTGAAAACCAATGGTTTATCATGCAATCACCTCTCTAGAATGCGAGGCACGTGAACTGATATAGAAACTGCTTTTGACCTGACTAACGAATTGACCAGAGGCAGCCTCATAATGATGAAGAAAATCCATAACTCGTTGCAAGCTCGACCAGCACCCATTAGTAAAAATAATGATGTCATTAGCAAAAGCTAAATGAGAAACTAAAACCCCCAACTCCAATACTATAAGCCACCCCTGGAAACCGAGCATATAAAGAGTCCAAGCCTCGAGAAAGATACTCTACAACAATGATGAACAAACAAGGAGAAAGGGGGTCACCCTATCGCAGCCCCCCTTGCGATTGGAAAAAGCCTTGATTGACCCTATTCATCATCACAAAAAATCACGACCCCCAGATAGCCTGTCGAACCAAAGAGATTCAGCCCTCAGNCCAAGCCTCGAGAAAGATACTCTACAACAATGATGAACAAACAAGGAGAAAGGGGGTCACCCTATCACAGCCCCCCTTGCTATTGGAAAAAGCCTTGATTGACCCTATTCATCATCACAAAAAATCACGACCCCCAGNTCGTGAAACTGAAACGTTTGGTAATGTAGATCGGAAGTAGATTAATTCTTGTGACCGACGCTTCTAGGACACTTGCATACTTCTCTACACATGGTTTGTGTAACACAAACACTCTGAATATAATTTATGTGCAGCACAATCGGAATGAGGATACCCCAAAGTGTTCAACCCCTCGTAGTTTATTGGAATAAAATAATGCAAGACGCAATTATAAGCAACCAAAGTTACTAATAGTAGCCATGACGTATATGCATACCTATATAATAAAATTGTTGAAATTTGTTCTCCTCGATATCAAGTTTTTACGTTTCAGTTAATGAGTCAGATTGATGTTTGTCTTCCATACATAGATGCTGCTTCATTGTGATTTGAACCTTATGGGTACTAGTCACAGAAACAACCTTTCTGCGCATATAACGAATCTACATGTCTTGTTGTGTGTTTGTTGTACCCAAGGATCAAAATATCGTTTCGAAACGGTCGAAACGTCCAAAACGTTTCCGTTTCCAAGGAGACCGAAATGAAATAATGATGGAATCGAAATTCTGATATTTCGAGATATTCCATAATGTTTTTAAATGTATTATAATATTTTAATGCATTTGTACAATTGTTTGGAATGTTTCAAAATATTTCAAGATATTTTGATATATTTCCATCAATGTTTTAGAAAAATAATTGTTAAATTTTTTATTTTTTCATTATGTTTGCGAAACGGGTCGAAACGTTTACGAAACACATCGAAACGTTTCCATTTCCTAGGTGACCGAAACAATACACCGAAACGATATTTTGATCCTTGGTTGTACCTAAGTCTTACTTTTCTATGATTTATCATCTTCATTCCGTATTGTTGTAGGTTTCTATGCCACTTAGTTTTTTTGGGATGACTTTATTTTTGGAATCAATAGTTTGGTAGGATGCTAGAATCATGTTGCAAGAATATGCTGGACAGCAATCTTCTGAGTATTGCTAGTAGAGGGAGCGGTAATCGGGTAAGGAATGGCGTAGGGTTATAGTCTTATAGAGGTGGGATTATACACTGAAAAACTAGAAAACCCAAAGATATGATCGCCTGATCATTGATAGGTTGGGGAAATCTGCTTGAAGTAATAAAAGAGAAGAAGAAAAAGAAATAGTTTAGTCAACAGCGCCACACCTAGGATGATTCTATTGCCATTATAGCTTTTAGAAGTGCATCACACTAGAACAAAACTGCTCCAGAAGCTTTTGAAGATCCTCTGGACTTACTCTTCATTGAATATAAGGAATTGCAGTGCTCTATATGGACTTCTAGCTGATTTTACCAAACCTATACAATTGACTAATCAAAGTCCCTCTATAATGATCCAATACCGTAATTTGACTGAAATTAACTGACCACGAACTACTATTGTAGCCGATTCTCACTAATCTGGGAAATTTAAGCTTGTCATGCACTGAAAAACTCTAAGGAAACTTGTATAACCTTGTACCTGAAGCAAAGTAAGTTGAATAAACCACAAAATAAGGCTCTGCTAAGGTGACAACTTGCCAAAGTGATTCTTTTTGAATTTACTTTTTCTTAAGCTTATGGGCTACATCAATATTCGTTCTAAAGTCCAAGGAAAATGTTGATTAAGAGTGATTTCATAAGAACTCATACGTTCAACGCAGCTTGGAAGTTACTGCTGGTATTGTGGCCATTTCACTCGCATGATCTTGGACGTTTAGTCTAGAAGGACCTTAAATTTACTGTACAGGGCTGAGTACTCAGCTATAGATGCAACTGCAACTGAACGGTTCATCGTGCATTTTTAGCCTCTTATCCTTTTTGCGTAGAAAGTTCTTGTGCGTATTGGTGATTCTTATTTTTTTTCCTTCTGTTATTCAAGTTTACTTATTTCCTTTTAGTTGAAGGATCCCTTGTCCCTGCATATAGTTAGATGAGAGGCCATTGGAGCTTATGCAGAAAGCACTGGAGAATGATTGTAAATTAGTTTTCTTTTAGTAACTATGTTTCATGTACTTGCTGTGGCTCCAGATAAACAATTTGGGTAGCTTTCTTATGATATCTATCATAAGTTTATGGAACAGCCAAATAGAACCTTATTAGGATTGATGGATGGTTGACACGACAGAATCAACTCTTTATTCAACAAATGCAATGTCTCTTGCTGCCCCAAATTTTCGGCATTTATTTTTTTAGGTCAAGGTAAGATTGCGTATACCCTCCCCAGTCCCAGACTAGAGACTTGTGCACTGGGCAGCCCATAATATCTTTTTAAGTTCACTTAATGGCCATACTGGATCATTTTGACCATCTAGTACTAGATGCTGCCATTTCAAAAATTCATTATGGTAGTGTTTTTATAGGGTGATTGTCCTTCTAATGTTTTGAGTAATGGATTTTATTTTTATCTGATTGTTTTTTGTTATTCGCTAAGGTACATTATAGGTTTTCCTATAGCTGCAGTTTCCTAATTTTGCTGCATTATCTGGAAGCTCGATGGATCGGCAGGCTCATGACTATGCAGCTGCTATGGCATTTTCCCAACAACAGCAACAAGCTGCTAATATCCAACAGCAGCAACAATTTGGTTTTCATCCACCACAACGGCAATTCCCTCCATCAGTTCCTGGTCCTTTTCTACCCCCACATCCCTCTCTACAGCAGTTCCCATTCCATCGTTCGATGCAGCAGCCACAACTCCATCCACTTCCTCCTCCCCATCCCCACCTTCTTCATCTCCAGCAGCAACAGCAGCCTCCGCCTGCTTTTCCTCCTCATTTACCCCCTCACGCTGTTCCTCCACCTTTCCATGGCCCGTATGATTCCACGCCGCCCCCTGCTGCTCCTCCCCATGATCCTGAACTTCAAAAGCGTATTGATAAACTTGCTGAGTATGTTGCCAAGAATGGCCCTGAATTTGAAGCCATGGTACGTGAAAAAGAGCAAGACAATCCTGGGTATGGTTTCCTCTTTGGTGGTGACGGGCATAATTACTACCGCTACAAGCTTTGGTTATGTACACGCGCCCCTGGTGGCTCCTTCAATCCTGCTTTCCCCTCCTCTTCAATACCTTTGATGCATCATCCTCCCAATCCTATGATAAATCCATCACCTCTAAATGCTTCTCAGTTGAGTTCCTCTGCTGCTGCTGTGATGGGTTCACCTCAAATGCAAACTCCTTTTCCATCGTTCTATGAGCCACAACCCCATCTGCATTCTCAGCCTTTTGCTAGTCATGGTCGACCAGACTTTGACCAGTCAACCAGGTCTTTCAAAGGTCTGTCTAGGCCACTGCCTTCTGATGTTGCGATGGAGCTAAATGATGTGCTCAACAATCTTACTGGTACCAAAGAGTCAATCAAAGGTGCCAAAATTTGGTTCATGCAGAGGTCCCCATTTGCACCAGCTCTGGCTGAGGAGCTCAGAGACAGGGTGTTTGCTCTGGATGATTCCGAGAGACAATTGCATATAATTTACCTGGCCAATGACATTCTATTTGACAGNACAGCAATTCCCTCCATCAGTTCCTGGTCCTTTTCTACCCCCACATCCCTCTCTACAACAGTTTCCATTCCATCGTTCGATGCAGCAGCCACAACTCCATCCACTTCCTCCTCCCCATCCCCACCTTCTTCATCTCCAGCAGCAACGGCGGCCTCCGCCTGCTTTTCCTCCTCATTTACCCCCTCACGCTGTTCCTCCACCTTTCCATGGCCCGTATGATTCCACACCGCCCCTTGCTCCTCCTCCCCATGATCCTGAACTTCAAAAGCATATTGATAAACTTGCTGAGTATGTTGCCAAGAATGGCCCTGAATTTGAAGCCATGGTCCGTGAAAAAGAGCAAGACAATCCTGGGTACGGTTTCCTCTTTGGTGGTAAGGGGCATAATTACTACCGATACAAGCTTTGGTTATGTACACGCGCCCCTGGTGGCTCCTTCAATCGTGCTTTCCCCTCCTCTTCAATACCTTTGATGCATCATCCTCTCAATCCTATGATAAATCCATCACCTCTAAATGCTTCTCAGTTGAGTTCCTCTGCTGCTGCTATGATGGGTTCACCTCAAATGCAAACTCCTTTTCCACTGTTCTATGAGCCACAACCCCATCTGCATTCTCAGCCTTTTGCCAGTAATGGTCGACCAGACTTTGACCAGTCAACCAGGTCTTTCAAAGGTCTGTCTAGGCCACTGCCTTCTGATGTTGTGATGGAAATGATGTGCTTAACAATCTTACTGGTACCAGAGTCAATCAAAGGTGCCAAAATTTGGTTCATGCAGAGGTCCCCATTTGCACCAGCTCTGGCTGAGGAGCTCAGAGACAGGGTGTTTGCTCTGGATGATTCTGAGAGACAATTGCATATAATTTACCTGGCCAATGACATTCTATTTGACAGCTAATTTTATAGTGCTCGCCATATCTAGAGGAGACATGAATTAAAGTGATGGAGCAACCCTAATATTAGCTGATAGAATGCGATTATTTTATGCTACCTTCAACATTTTCTCCACTTTCCTTCTCTTTTATTATCTTTCTGCATTTATCAATGACTTGATAGCATCTCTATCTATCTCTCCCCCCCAACCCAAAACCCCACAAAAAAAAAAAAAAAAAATCCAAACCAAGTTCCCTAATTTTCAATGGCGAATGTTTCTGCTGCCTGTTCTGATGCTTTATTATTTTTAATAGAATGATTTTGAAAAACAAAATGTGTAAAACACTGGTAAATGCTGTGTAATTGTGTGCAATATTCCTTAGAGCTTTGGTCATGAAAAACAAGAAATATCTGATTAACCTAATGAAATTTGGGGTCAGAAACTAAATGCCCAAACAGCTAGGAAAATAATTTAAAGATGGGGAATATTACTTGTTACTGTATGGCATCACATAATTTTGCTTTGTTTGCCCAATACAGGTGCCCTGCATTGACTGGATTTTTTTTTATTCTGGCTCTATATATAAATGTTGGGAGAATTCCTTTGCTTAAGATTTCTTGATAATTTAGGTTGTTAGAGTCTTGGCAGCCTCCTTACTTTAATAGTGCCAATGTAATTTGTGGTATAACCTGAGTATATATTTGTTGATTTCTTTTAGATCTTTTTTTCTTGGGTATTTTAACTTATTTGCTTTTGATCTTGAACATTAGAGATACTATTTGAAGATCCTTGAACATATGCTTGTTACACACATTCCAAGATACATATTTCAATACATATGTGTACTTCTATATGTACTTCAAGTCTTTAGTACATATTTATAGGACCACGTGCATAAGTCTACATCTATTACTAAATCTTATGCCCTGGCCTAGTTTGGTCCTTTGTCTAATAACATGTCCGGATGATCCATATCACCTTAAAATTAATGAAACAAAATAGTGTGAAATTGACAAAATACAGGGGTAGATGGTAATAACCTCAATGCATTCATGGAGCCAGGAAATCATCACCCCTATCCTTCTCCAACCTTTTCTCTTTTCCCCCCCTTTTCCCTGTTTCCACTCCCTCTATCCATTACGTATGATCGTCACTCTTTTCTCCTTTATCATTCCATATACTATCTCTCATCCTTAATATACCTTAGCACATAAAAAGATCTTTCATTGGTGACTTTCTTTAATCAATCATTCCTTTTTCTTTTTTTTTAACATATATAGATGACAATTGATCGATATATGTTATTGATACTTGTCCAAATAATCATACAAAAACTTGGTGACATCATCTTCCTTGAATTATTTGATATATAAGTGGAGGAAAACAATCAGGCAAATGCCTCAACGGACATGAAACATTGGCTGATTAATGGGGGTATACATTTTGAGAACTGTAGAGATCAAATTTTTATTACTAGTTGTATGGATTCAGCATATGCTGGTACTTAATGGCTTGGGCAAGTATAATTTCTTTAGCAGGATTACATTGCTTATCACGTATAATTTCTGAAGCAGGGTTAGGTAGCTGCAATTTAAGCTTCCCACATGCACTTAAAGACTAATTAGGTTTTCCTTCCTTATTTGGTTCACCTGTTTAAAATTTATAGCGGGGTTAAGAAACCAGCAATTGGGCCAAATCTGAAAAAAGTCTTCTCTGGTTAGTTACAATGAGCGGAGTAAAGTAGAATTTGCCTAAAAGGAGAAACGCGTTTGTGATTTTCTTTACCTGAAATGTTGCTCATCATTTGTCCTTTACTAAAAGTAAAGAAAAGAGCTGGCTGGCAACTTTTCCTCGATGTTTCCACTTATCAATTGAAATGGTTTTGGTTAGAAAGTGGTGGTAGAAAGCAGAGGCAGGACTTCTGCTGAGAAAGGGCATGGTTTATGTTAATTGCCAATGGAATTTCTGCCGTTATTGGGTAATACCAATAGAATGGTGGGACGTTGTGCAGTCGTGCAATGCTAAACCAGGAGGTTGTGAGTTCGAATATGTCGATAGTGTTTTGGTTGAAAAAATAGCGGAAGTTATGTATCCAGTAGGTAAGGACGGACATTGTCTTGCTAAAGCTATATATGACTTGATAGCTCTTGACAGGAAAGAGTATTGACATACATGAGCTTTTCCTTTGGTACATTCCAAAGTAAGAGGCTGTTACCTGCCTTGTTTAATATCCCAGGGGCTGCTGAATCATGTTATTTTATTTGCATATAAATGAAATAAATGGTTTTGCTGTTGTTTTTTTTCTTTAAACTTGTTTTGTTTTCCTTCTAACAGTGTGTGATATTCATCTACCTTCCTAGATTGTGACAATGATTCTAGCATTTGTTTTGGATACTAAAAATTGTTGATTGAGATGATATAGCCATAGATCTAAGCTCTAGCTTGACCTTGGGGGGTCTGTCAATATTGTGAAACTAGTGCATATTTACCGGTCAATTCGTATTGAAATGTGCAGCTTGCAAAGGTGGATCAACCCTCATGACCTAGATAACGAGGCACTTGCTTTTAAGCCTGTAATAGGTTCCATGCTTTCAAGGATTTACCACAACCCTCAAAATAAGGAGGAAAATCAGTCACAATTACCAAAAATTTTGCAGTTTTGGGCCTCCAAGGAAGTTTATGATCAAGATACCATTCTTGGGCTTGAGAATGAGATGATGGGGGGATCAACAACAAACTTATTTCTTGTGCCTCCAAGGGACTTATCTGCTGTTTCAACAGATCATTTGACCATTTCAGGTATCTCTCTCTCTCTCTCTCTCTCTCTCTCACACACACACACACACACACACACACAATGAGGGACCTAGGAAAGGGCCTACGGGGGGCCATGGCACCAAGAGTAGTGGAAGAAGAAGGTCCATTCCAGTGTGTATAATATGTGCGCTTCTAGTTTTCCATACACCGACTTCGGTCCTGACAGTATCTATTAAATATTGAGATATCACCATAATAATAATGTTCTCCTATTGCTATAATAATAAGATAAGAATATCGTATCAAATTTAATTTTTCAATATTATACAAAAAAAAAAAAAAGAAAGTTATATTTAGCTATTGTAAGAATTATATGGACCAATAAAATAATTAATTTTGCACGTGTCACTTTGTGATTAGACAAAAAAAGATATAGAGTCCCCAAAAAGTAATTTTTTGATATACTCTCATAATAATATTAGGTTGTCATCTGTTTTTATTTTTTATTTAAATATGCCCAACTAGAAACCCCTACATAAATTGATTAGACTTGTGCCTACACCACCCATTTCACTTGTAGCTAGTTATACTTGCACTTCTTAGCTTTATTTCAATTTTCCATTTTGCTTTTTTGGTTATGAGTGTTACCATCACTAAACTTTGAAAATAAAATTGCTAAAAAATTGGGACATTTCCAAGCATGGGTAAATCATGTGATAGAAAAAGATGTCGAATATTATTTTGATAAATGAGTAAGAGGATATGCCAAATACTAATGATAGATGACTAAGAGGATATTTAATAAAAAACTATTCATGTAATTTATTTATTTATTTTTTTTTGTTTCCTTTATTCATGGTGTATGTATATTTACTGGTTTGATATATTTTATACATTGCAAATTTGAATTTACCAAGTATAGAGATAGTTCATGTTCTAGGTGTTAGTTTACATACATAGGCTTTGGCCCTTCTCAAGGTAAAATCCCTAGATTCGTCACAACACATACCCATGCATGTACACACTCACTCTGATCCACCATGCTGAGACTTATGGAAAGCTTAGTTACTCTTCGGGGTAATTGGAAAGATCCAGTTTTATAGAGACAAGCGTCCTCTAGAAATATTGGTTTGTTCAGCTCAATAAGCTTGTGAGGATCAGCAGTTGGTCCAATGGCCGCGCCCTGCAGGTTGTTCGCAGGTTCAGACCTTGTTGCCCGCTCCCATTGTAACTCGGACCAGAAAAAACCTCAATAGGCTTGCATATAGTTGGTTGCCAGGATTTTCTTGCTTTAAATTCTTCGAAATCTTTATGCTAAAGTAGACTTATTTTTTATTCACGCAGGACCATCACCCCAGGTGTCAAACCATAATACCTTACAGTGGCAGCCTCATAAGCTAAGTTTGGTGCCAAATTTACCAGATCTAGAACATCCTGATAAACAAGTTTCTCCCCTAGCAGCCATGCCACCATCGGTAGCAACACAACAATTTCTTCCTAATTCAGTTCCTTCTGGTGGTTTTGTTGGGTCCTTGCCAATCCCATCTTCCGGTCAACAAGCAAATCAACAACCTGCGTCCCATATATTGCCAGGACCGACTGCTAATGTTGGTGAAAAATTACCTCCATATCCTTTGTTTCCACCTGGTCTTACTCCTGAAATGGTCAGAAAAATGCAGATCGGTAGTGGGGTGCCTTACTCTCCCATGAGCCCTTTGGATATCCCTACTGTAATACCACCCTCCAATGTATCTCCATCTGAAATTCTTGAGAGTGTCAAAATTCTTTAAAGAGATTGGAGAGGTTAACCCTTCTGAAGGACCCATGAAACCTTCCGAATTAATCGATGAAGATGATGAGTATGAGAGAGAGCCTCCCATTTGCAAGGGAGGAGCTTGCATCCCTCCCCCACCTAATTTACAAGTGGCCCCTGAAACAGGAACTTTTGCTGATGGAAGTGTAGAACAGAAGCCTGGATCAACTAGCTCAGGATGGTTGGGACTTGGGGCCACAGCTAATCCAAATGAGGCCAGTCAATATGATGATGTTTATTATTCTTATAGGAAACAGAGAAGTATCAATTACCATACGTCTATGAGTGCAAGAGCTGCTGCTACAAGGTAAAAACTGGATGAATGTGTGATCAATTGTAGTAAAAAATTGGAAACTTGGGTTTCTGACAAGGTTGGTTCTTGCATTTCCTGCTTGCCTTTTCTTTCTGCACTTGAGTTGGAATTATCAGAAATTAAATTTGTGGGATCATCAGTATTATATCTTCATGGTTATTAAGGTCCTGATTTAGATGAATGATTGAATGCCAATCCAGATATGCATTATATGTGGTG